GAACTGTCGTTGCAGAAGCCTTGCCCATCATATTCACAGCATTGCAAGTGTAGTTTACGGCATCCTTGTCTTTATCGACGGTCTTTATTACCAAGATACCGTCTAATAGTAACCTATATCGACTGTTAACGGCTCCGTCTGAGATCTGAACTCCATTGACAAACCACTGAAATTTTGGGCGAGGCTCTGCATTTGGGTTGCAGTGTAATCTGCCCTCATGGCCATGAAGCAAGTGAAAAGGGCCAAAATGGCGATTGTTGAAGGATGGTTTCCATGCTGAGAAAAACAAATTGTTGCGAAAAAAATAAATTGAAATTATTCATGTTCAGATATTGTGTGATGCTCAACTGACAAGAAGCGAAGTAAGATTTTCTCTTTGCTCCAAAGAGTCCTTTTCAAATGAGCGTCCACAATCTAGGATTTTACTGGTATTGCTTTACTTTGCTTTGTCATTAATCTTGAAAACTCGCGCCGTCTTCGGTATCTATCAAATTCAACACCATAAAACAATTTGCTCCTTGGACACTCGCATTTCCTTTGTTTGAGGCTTTGGCAGCCGCTATCGTTTGTCTCCTCGTGTAATTTCCCTTTCTTGTACTTGGCTATTATCATGGTGAAATTTATGCTTATAAACATCAAAGGTCAGTCCTTCCTTTAAATGACTTTCCAAAAAGCCATCTTAGAATAGACTACCTTAAAATCACTCGTGATATTTAGATTCATCAAACCTACCTTTCACTTGAACCCAGGTTGCAGACACAATCATACCGTATTGGTTTTCCACAGCACATTGATAGACACCCTCATCGGTCAGATTAACATTTCTGAGATGTAATTTGCTTCCATCCGCGATTATCCGATCACTGTTAAGACACAAATGCATGCAGGCTCATGAACCTTCAAAACCCAAAGAAGTTGTACCTGCATTGCAATATTTTGGTTGTTTTCTGGGATGTTGTGTAAATTGCCGTTATAGAGAAGAAAACATCTAAATAATCATTTTTCATGACAGACAGATACTACTCGCGTCGTAGATGACGGTTTTGTCATCTGTGTGTGCTTTGAAGCGTCAAGAAGCGGAACCGTATAAAAACGAGCAGCGGTGCCGCGAGAAGTTTTTCCACTCGCGGCTTTGCTGCTAATCGTTAATTTTCCATGCACCCTAAACTGCTAGCTCGCATGATAATGAGACAACATCAGAGAGGCAAGAGCTAACAAAAACGAAGGACACTGAGGATGTTAAGCAAGTTAAGCTCGGCAAGATGCGAAATCTGTGATTTCAGAAGCACCTTCAAAATGCAATATTAGTTTAATTTTTTGGAAAGTTGAGCCTGCACGTGCTTTGTTTTGGTTTCTGTGGTTTTTTAACAGCCAAATTACAGTTTCCAAATTAAGAAACAACATACGAACACAAATAAACTACTGATAGCCAAACAAAGAAGAGAAACAAAGCAAAACAGTAGACTTAACACTTCATGCTTGTTTGGGTATGGCATGAATTCATACGTAAAAAATGTACGCTATAACTCGTACGTTTACCTTGACGACTGCAAGTGTACACCATTCTTGTACCATAGGATTGCTGCCACAGGGTCTGCAACCACTTGACACTCAATAGTTTCATTTTTATCAATTATGATGCTCATTTCACTTGGTGGAGGATTGTCGTTCCATCTTGGTGGAACTAAAAAAAAAAGACGACACTGATTATTTTTTAAGACCTGTTCCACCTCTCTTGGTTTACAGGGGTTCCAAAGAAGACGAGGCGGTGAACTGATGCTTAATGTACGAGATGGTGATGATTTCAAAGTTGTGGATAAAACTCCAGTTTACTGTGTGATGAGATAAAACCCATCAAGCAATAAGGTATTTTTTCATGCTGCTACAATGTGAATCAATTTACTTTAAGTATGCCAGTGAAACCTTATTAGTGTGTGACCATTCGCATGAGAGCTTCCCAGTAGTACTTTCCCTTAGAGCAATTGAGTGTGGAAAGTAATCGGGGATTTTACTGGTTTTGTTTTACTTTGCTCTATGACAACAAAACTTCGCAATCAGATGCAAAACTTAAACCATTCATGACTTGATCGCCTGAGTTCTCCCGCCCTTTGAGCAATTAGGTCATTTTTCCTTTTACTTTGAGTTCTCATTGTCTCGTTTTGGTAATTTTCTACCTTCTGATTGGCCGTTACGGTGACTCAATCGAAAAGCGTTCTACATGTTGCAGAGTAGACATATAATGGATGACAGTTTACCTTTCACTTCCAAATTGATTGTACGGACCATGGGGTAGACATTGCCACGGGAATTGTTTGCCTCACAAGTGTACACATCTTGGTGACTTTCCCTGTTCACATTTGTGATAATTAGACGATGGCCATAGTAATGGCGAGGGATTTCAAAGGAATTCTGTCCATTTACAATCTGTTGTCCATTCTTCTTCCAGGTGATTTCTGGTGTTGGCCTGCAAGTTGTACAAAGATGCAGTGTATGTTGGAGTGCTGCACAAACTAACAGGTAGGCAGAACATTTTAAATTGTCTATTAATCTAGAAAAAATCTGCTTCCTCTACCTCGCATTTTCCAAAAGTAAGAGATATGCGATACTCACCGTCCATTTGCGAAGCAGTAAAGAATTTTCCGTCTTCCCTCGATGGCAAGCTCGTCCACCGCAGGTACAGCGGCCCAAGAAAGCGTAACAGGAGTGCCGGGGTCTGGGTAGGAAGGAGACACATTCACATCATTTAAGTTCAAGTTGAAGAGGTAAAGGATATTTTCTTTTCCACTAATTAACTAATTATCTGCCGCT